CCCCGTAGGCAGCCCTCGCGCTGGGGGGGGCGGTGTGGCCGCAGAAGCGAAGAAAAGCTCCTGTGCTCAGCCCTCAGAGCCCCAGCAGCAGGCAGCCGGCAGCCAAGCGGCTGCAGCCACGCGGCACTGCCATAGCCCGGCCAGGGCTGAGCCTGCGGAGCGAGCCCCCCTTGCGGCGGCCTCTTCTCCTCTGCTCTGCTGGGCAAACTTCTCCCAACTTCACTTCTCCCGGCCCTATTTTGCCCCCCAAAAAGGCAGGCGGGCGGTATCCCTCCGCCGCACTCTAACCTCGCCGGGCTAATGGGCAACCTGGAGAGAGGCCTGTCCTGGGGCAGGCTGCTGAGAGCCCCTGGCAGGTTAGTTTGCTCTAGCAAGGGTTCCCTTCCCTGCGCCAGGGGCGGATGCTTGTCCAAGCCCGCCTAGGATCACAAGACATGAGGGTCAAAACGGCAGCCTGGCTACTCTGCTTCAGCCAAAATTACAATACACTATTAAATTTGAACACTATACGTATCTGTGTTTATTCGGATTTGAGCCTAGAAATCTGCCGGTGACAGATACGGTGGTTTCCAGGTCGAACCATCTTCTGGGACAAAGGCATTTAACATCATTTAAGATCAGGCCCATTCAATTTAGTTTACTAGTGCACCTTTGCTGGTAACAAGACCTCAAGAGGTCATCTAGTCTAGCTCCCTGCTCAAAGCAGGACCAACTCCAATTAAAACATTCCAGCCAAGACTTTGTCAAGCCAGGACTTAAAAAACCTCTGGGGATGGACATTACACCACCGTCCTAGGTAATCCATTCCAGTACTTCACCGCCCTCCTAGTGAAATAGTTTTTTCTTAATATCTAACCTAGGCCTCCTCCACTGCAACTTGAGGCTGTTATTCCTCCTTCAGTCAGCTGCCACCAAAGCTACACCCCAAGTCAGGTGATACTTAAGGTGAGTTCAGAAGTGTGGGAACTGCTGGGTCCCATCACTCTTCATTTAAATATATGGTTTTGCTTGAGGTTTTTCAATGGTGGTGTATTTTTTTCCCTGGGGATTGTGGAGGAGCCTGAGCTGGAATCTGTTGAAACACTCTCAGCCTTTATGCAAACTAGGGTCTATACATCACCAAATAATAAAAATGTCTATGGCTTATTTTAGTGTTACTCTTACTGGATATCGTTTGAGGGTATAAATCCATATTGTTGCTGACTTTTAAGGCCCTAAAGATTCATCATCACCTCATTGTCTTTGCTGTACATTACTTAGTCCTTTATCTAAGTTCATCTCATCATGACCTGCTGCTTATTTGAACATTTTAAAGTGCTATACTTTCAACACCTTGCTTCCTTTTGCTCACACTCTCCCCCCAGAGAGATTGAGTTGGCCAGCTCTTTGGCTATTTTTAAGTCTAAACTGAAACCTTTTCTTTCTCTGAGCACTTGTAATTCATGTCTGTGGTATGTACAGTCTAACTTTGTTAAGCACCAGAGTACCTTATTCTGTATCAGTTTTAAAAATGCCACTGCATTGCTTGGGGAACTCCCATTATGGACTTTTCCAAACAGCGATGTCCATTTTAGTGTTTTTTAAAGTATTTAAAACTTTTTACTAAGCTACAATCCACTAATAACATAACTTATTTTTCTGTGTTGAAGTAGTAGTCATTTACTTTCTTATGCAGTTTTCCTTCTATTGTTTGTAATATCCTATTTCCCCACCAAATTGTTCCTTTTTCCATTTGGCAGAAAAACTTACTTTCTGTTTTCTAAAACAAACTTGGCTATGTTTGTTTACTTCCTTGTTTGTGTATCAGAATAGTTTAATTAAATAATTGCACTGTTGGGAACATTGAAAGCTGGTTAATTAAAAGCTAATAACACGAGTAGGAGGAGAGTTGCGGGGACCCGCACTGGAGCCATGTGGCTCTGGGTCGCTGCCCCACACGTGCGCGCTCGGGCTTGGTGCCGGGGGTCTGCAAACGCCCCTGAAGTCCTTTCCCAAAAGAACAACCCAGTGAGGCTGCGGCCCTAGGCAGGGAGAGGCGCAAATATTCGGGCACTTCCATCCCTCTCGAACATCCCCCCGAAATCTTCCCATGCTCGCCCTGCCGGCCTCCCCTCCCCACCCCTGGCTTTCACCTCGCAGGCGACCAGAAGTTCGACGGCCGGGGGTCTGCAAACGCCCCTGAAGTCCTTTCCCAAAAGAACAACCCAGTGAGGCTGCGGCCCTAGGCAGGGAGAGGCGCAAATATTCGGGCACTTCCATCCCTCTCGAACATCCCCCCGAAATCTTCCCATGCTCGCCCTGCCGGCCTCCCCTCCCCACCCCTGGCTTTCACCTCGCAGGCGACCAGAAGTTCGACGTGGCGGCCTTAGCTCCACTAGCACCGCCCAACGCTACCCGCTTCCCAGCGCCCCGACCCGCTTCCTGTCCCCCTCCCCCTGCTCCTTAGCAGCCCTGTCGTGGCGCCCGCCCGCAGGCCTGCCCCTCCGGCGCAGGGCCATGAGCCCTTTGGGCAGGTCGCGAGGCTAGCGGCGATTCTACACTGGCAGTCGGAGGTGTGCCGCGGAGAACAGGAGTTCAAAATGGCCGCCCTTAAAGGGCCTGTCTTTTTTTTCTCTCTCAACACCTTTTCCCTGGCTTCTTTTTTCTCAACAAAAAATCGGGGTGTTGCTTATTGTCGGTGTTCCTCAGTCTACGAAACACTGGTCCGCAGCGCGGTCCCGCACGGCAGGAGGGAGCCCGTGCCCCGCGAGGGGCGGCCCGTCGGCCCTCCACACGGGTTGCAGGCCTTGGCCTGGAGAGGGGGGTGGAGGCAGGGTCACTGCGGGGGCTCCTGCCTGTCCCCACGCCACGCTGGTGCCCGAACACGCGAGGGTCACACAGGAACAGATCAAAGAGTCGCAGCCAAAATTCTACCCCGGGCCGGCAAACGCGCCGCTAGGCCAGTTGTCCTCGAAGGGCCCGGGAGCGTCTTGCAGGCGGGCCAGGGCGGCGGGCCCCTT